TTGAGAGCTTCCACAAACTTTCTTAAAGGTAACAGAACACTACTACAGTCTTGATGCACATATACTATATAGAAAAGAGTACCACACTTACTTGGCATGTTCTTCAAATATGGTTACCACTCTCTTCAAGAAATCCAGAGAGTACAGATGTATACAAATCTGCAACAGAAACAGCCATGCAGCCATACATACATTTCAGCTCATTCTGTTTCCCCGTGTCTTTTATTCCTTGCAAAACCCTTACATCCTCTGACAGTGTGTCCTTCCATATTTCTTGGAAGCATTATAACTGTCACTTAGCCCTTGCACAACCCTATGGTAAGTGGCCACTCCTGCAAACCAAACTAAGCCGATTCGGGTGTGGACTGTGGAAGCACCACATCCGATTCTCGCACTTTCTGCATCAAATGGCACAGTGTAGACAGATGTCACAGGCTACATGGCTCCCACACGTTAGGAGCACAGAGGTGTGCCGACCACAACCGTGTTGGCATTGTTGACCAAGACCCTGTCTATAAATAGGACATCACATGTCAGGGTGCGGTACATGAGGACAATGTTGACTGGCATCTTACATATGAAGACAGAAACTTGCATGGGATTTACCCTCATAATCCTCAACACAAAGCATGCTGATCACATGCCAGCTGAAGCTCAGGTGGGCGATCACAGTGCGGCCTTGAGCAAGTTTCTTGGGGTTCCGCAGCCGACATTTCCTGTCTCTGGACAGGCGATGACGGGGCCTGCCTGACCCGAAGTAAGGGTGTTTATCTGTTGCAAGATCTGGTCTGCAAATGCTCGCCCAGGCGGCGATAACCTTTCAGTACAGCACACTACAGGAGGTTCATGTGAGAGTCTGTTCTCTACCTCAGGCTGCTGTGTGTGTTCCTCATGCAGCAAGGATGGACAGGGTCCAATTACAGGAGCGGGTGGACAATGACCAGCATTACACATGGGACATGAACAGAGAGGATGCAGCAGGTGATGGCATCTAGGGTAGTGAAGACTTAAATTCTCCATGAAAGCTTCCTGAAAATATTGACGACGCATGGCATGTTGCTGACATGCCAACCCGAAAACAGCCTCACACTCGCAGTTATTCTAGAATGGCATGTCAAGGGCACAACGGCAACTCAAGCAACTCAGGCAGCTCAAAAGAGGGTGGGGGGATGACTGCAAGACAACAGGTCGCAGTTTTCACAGAGGCTGGCAGTGACCATGCCTTCATGGCGTTCAGAGCAGAGATTATGTTGTGCACATGCCAACCAGCCTGTGCCTGTATGGAAACACACTCATGGCGCAGCGCAGCCAGTGGCCTGTAGAAGGGCCCTCTCACCATCCGTGCCAGAAGCTGTCTGATTTCTGCAGGCAAGACACACATCCTGGCAAGGTAGAGGGGAGTGTGTGCTTGTCAAAAAAAAAAAAAAATCTCTCTCATTCCGTCCACAAATGGTCACAAAACCATCCATAAAACAAAAGAAAGTGCTGGAGAAGGCACAGACCCCAGCCAGCGGATGGACAAGTTCCATTACAGGCGTAACTTCTTTTACCTTTCTTGCTCTTTACGATTTACCACTGGAGCAGTGTAATCTTTGTGTGTGTGTTTTAGATTTTCCCCACAACAGCCCCAATTCCACCCAGGTGAATAGATTCAGAATCAAAGCAGTCTTTATCCTATTGCAGACAACGAGAGCATTTGAGATGTCCACATATTAAAGCAATTTTATAATTAGACAGTTTTTTGGTTGTTCTTGGGGTACCCCTTTCATTGTTCTTGCAGCTCCCCTTTTACTGTGCTTCTTACGCACAAGGCTGCCCACATTGATTGTGGTTGAGCGGCAGCTGCCCACATCCCCGTGTGCCTCCACGGCCCACTTGCACGTTATTTCAGGAGGCAGAGTAAAAGGGAAGGTATGCTCCTGTGGATCTTCAGCTTATACAGCCTTTGTGTCC